CTCTCTCTCTCTCTCTCTCTCTCTCTCTCTCTCTCTCTCTCTCTCTCTCTCTCTCTCTCTCTCTCTCTCTCTCTCTGACATTAATGTGTGTGTTTGTAGATGGTGGAAGTGAGAGTTCCAAACCTTGACTGTGAGGGATGTGCTTCAAAGTTGAAAAGAGCTCTTCTAAAGCTCAAAGGTATGTTTTTGGAGGGATGGGAATTTAAGTCGCGCCAAGTGCCGCTACCTTCTTTAGTTTTTTGTTCTTCTTTCTCTCTCTCTCCTTTTTTTTTTCCTCACTAGCCTACATTTCATTTCTCTCGAGAGATTGTATCAGCAAATACTCAACTTCCTAATAATATTAGACCAACTTAACAAGCTTGTTTTTCTTTCTTTTTTTTCTTTTCTTTTTTAATTTTAACGAGAATAAACTAGATATTATATTTTCAAATATTCTTAAAAAAATTCAGGGCCACCTAATGTAGTTATAGGCTAAACCAAGCGGTAAATTTAAATTCACTTATGTCATTAGAGTTTAAGATTTTAATTAGGGGTGACAATTCATGCTACTGTGTCTAGTTTGTTGTGTGTTATACCCTTCTGTTACACTATAACTCTTGATACGAGCACCACTCATTTAATAATTGTGTTAGAATAAGAAACTCAAACACGTCTCTTTTATTATAAGGTTGACATGAATACGACATGTTAACCTATTTATTAAATAGATTCGTGTCAATCTACAAACACGTTTACTACTCGTATACTGAAATTCAATTAATGATAAAAAAATATTAAAATATAAAAATAAGTGGAAGCCCACTTACATGTGCTTGACCCAATATCGTAGTCCTGGTTTTGGAAATGGACAAAAGAATGGGCTTGAAGGAGGTGAAAGAAGAAGGGGAAATTTTTAAAACATAGATGATAGTATTCACAAAGGTCCTCATTTTACTATTTAATTTTAAAATTTAAATTTTATTATAATAAAAATTTTTTAAAAACAATTATTTTTAATATTTTTATTACATTAAAAAAAACATAAATGATAATATTCACAAAGGTCCTTATTATACTAATTTAATTTTTAAATTTAAATTTTATTACAGTAAAAAACTTTTAAAAACAATTATTTTTAATATTTTTATTACATTAAAACATTTTCACATAAAATTATATCTTTAACTCAAAATAAAAACTCAAACCAATGAACTAAATAAGCCTAAAAAATAATTAACTCGAACTTCACGAAATGTACGGAAGCTAGTGAGAAGTCACGTGCAGTTCACGTTTTAGAAAAAGTAAAAACAAAACAAAACAAAAAAAAAATCTAGATAAGAGTAAGAAAATTCTTCTTCCTCAAGCTTTTCTAGAGGCTGGCTAGAGGGATCAGGGAAGAAATAATGGGGTTAGAAGTTAGAACGGTGTATTGGTTTTTTAGGGGATGAAAGAGATGGCATAACGTTGCTGTAAATGTGAAAAATAGATTGGAAGTTGGTGGTTATGGTACAACATTTAACATTCCCAAAATAAATAAAATAAAAAGATTACTTGACTTGCATTTTCAAGACATACATAGCAACAAGGACGGATGAACCTTTGGAGAAGAGAAATTAGAAGGGTTGAGCAAGGGCGGAGGAGACGGCGTGAAGCGGTGGGAGAGAGAAGAAGAATTGAAAAAAAAAAATAAATAAATGAAAAGAAAAAGGAAAGCAAACGACGCTTTGGGCCTTTTTGGTAATTAGCTATTTTACATGTCCAGGTGTCACCTTATCATTGATTCATGATATGATTCACGAACTAATTTCTTGAAGCCTAGATGCGCTCTTTTTAAAAATACCTTTAAAACGGAGTCTCTTTTATTTCTCATTCTTTTTAAGTGTTGTTTAGCGTAAAAAATTATAATTCTGATTTAAAATTAGTATTTATTTATAAAAAGTAAAAATAGTTTTGATTTAATTTATTCAGAATTAATGTTTGGTTATGATAATTTTGATTCAAGATTTGAATCTTGATGTGATGTTTTAAACTATGAATCACTCATGATTTTAAAACCACTTCTTTTGATTTTAGGTGGTTCAAACTCTTGATTCTAGCTCTGATTTCATAATTATGATTTGGACCTAAAATTATTAATCATGGTTCTTGTTCTAAAATCAAAATTAGAATCACCTTAATTTAAACCCTTATACCAAACAAACCCTTAATATTAACTCATATATTTTTACTTTTTAGATTAGAATTAGTTAAAGAGTAGAGTTTTTCAAAATAAATATTTTTAATAAATCAAGTATTTAAAAAGTAAAATCTGAAATTCTCTAAGGAAAAGAAATTAGGCCCGACAGTTGCGTTGCGTGCTCTGTAAATTGGAAACATTCAGGATGGATATGGGAATGTCACTTTGGTAGAGTTGGTATTCAAATGTACCATTTTAAAAAACAAAAAAAAAAAAGTTCAAATGTACCATTTTAAAAAAAAAGGACTTAAATTCATACATAAAAATGGTACGAAAATATCTAGCCTTCAAAAATTGTGACCTCTATCTTCTTTCTTCTTCAATACCTTTTTTTTTTTTTTTTGGGTAGTATTTACTTCAATACGTTAAGTTGGAGTCTGGTTGGCTAAGAATCGGCATGCTATCACTCTTTGAAGTGCTGGAACAAGAAGGCTTTTGTTACGCACTTCAAGGCCACAACTTAAATAGCCATTCAGCCTTTGTTTTCGCATTAGCCCTTTACGTTGACTTTGTTAAAGACTTTATTAAGCTTTGTTATAGAAATTAAAAGGCACGTTTAGGATTGGTCCGAGAAGCTCTACAATACAAAGGCTACAGGCTTAGGGCGAGTTAAAATGTAGATTTAGCAGCCAAAGAAAGCTTTTTTTACATTTGACTTTATTTTTCTTTCAAAAAAGGCCAAAAGCTAATTTAATGATCAATCCATATCAATAAATACCCTTTAGAAATACTTTTAACCAAAAAAAAAAAAAAAAAAAAAAAAAAAAAACTTAAGAGATGTTTGGTTGGGAGATTTTTACCCTGATTTAAATCATGATTCATGGTTCGTTACAGTATTTTCTCTCACAAAAAACATACATAAATCTCATGGTTCTAATTTATAAACTAAACGTCTCCTTATTTTTTTGTTGACAACTTTAATTTGTTGATTTTTAGGTGCGGAAGAAGTGGAAGTTGAGATGGAAGCACAAAAGATAACAGTTAGAGGGCATGCATTGGAAGAGAAAAAGGTCCTAAAGGCAATTAAGCGTGCAGGAAAGGCAGCTGAGCCGTGGCCATTTCCAGGGCACTCTCACTTTTCGTCATTCTACAAGTACCCAAACTACATTGTCAACCATTACTATGATCCATATAGAAACGGCCCCACAAACGGCGTCCACACTTTCTTCCATACCCCGGCGGCTTATTCCGTCGCCGTGGCATCCGACGAGGCCATCGCTTCGATCTTTAGTGATGACAATCCACATGCTTGTACTATTATGTGATCATATGGTCTTGTGCTTGAGGGGAAGGAATATTCCAGCAACTTTATTTAATTTTTCAACGTCGTTTTGCTTGATAATTTTACGTTTTAATCGTTTCAAATTTGTGCGTCACGAGTAATTGCAAAGTTGGAGTCACAAGTACCTTCCAAGCAGTTAAAATCTAAATACGCCAAAGTTCAAACAAGTGAACAACACACGTTATGACTAGAATTCTTCATAGATATTTGTTGCTATACGAAGGACATTATGGTAACAGGAGACATATTTTTTATAATTCCTTTTTCTTGACCATTTTGTCTTTCCTTTTTTTTTTTTTCCTTGCATAATTGTTATCACGTGTCATTATATTTAGTATATTCTTAAATCCAAATAAAAAAAAATGTTACCATCATTTTAGGAGAAGTGTTGGGAACCCATGCGCTTGATCCAAAATATCTTTTTTTTTTTTCGTAATTTGAAAATTACAATTTCTTTCTTTTTGGCAATAAAAAGACCGGATAAATCTTCAATAATACAGACAGTAGACTGCTAGTAGCCCAGCAGTATCACATCTCATCATTTTCATGAATAAACCGGAGCATACACCGGCGGTACTTAATACCATCCATAATAAAATTTAAATCTCGTGATATAAGATTTATAAATGATGATATTTAACACCGATAATACTTTTAAATATTTTTTTCATAGTAGTCAGTATATCTTTCGATTTTGGCATTTTTTTCCCTTGTCATGTCACGTACATGTACATGATACATACATTTTCCTACCCCCGTTGTCATCATCATTGCTACCTTTTTATCACTTCCACTCGATATATATCACTAAAATACATGGATTAACATGATAACTGATGTCTTTTTTTCTACAATAATTTCATTTTTATTGGTTAATAAGTTTTTGGGCCTCTAATTAAATTTTTGCTAATTTTGACTTGTAAAAAAAGAAAATTTCTCTGACGTTTTCTCTTTTTTAAAAATAACGATATTTTATACTTATCAGTAGGTGAATCTATATTATTTTTTTAATCTAATTTGACTTTTAATTAAATTTAATATAAATATGACGGCTGATAAACAGAGAACACTAGTATTTAAAAAAAAAAAAGATAACACTAGAAAAAGCCTCTAAAAAAATCTATATAAATTTAGATTAAGGCATGTATAAGATCTTGGTGGTATTCAAACCATTTTCTTAGTTTTCACAATTGCATTTTCTTTGTGCCTTTCGGCGTGGGAAGAAGCCATCCGTTATAACTTTTTTTTTGAATGGAAGAGAATCTTGGAAATGTCATCACCCTCATTTCTGTGTCCAATTGATAGAAAGCCCAACTTGGCCACACCAAAAAAGGCACCGACTACTTTTTCTCCCTCTTTTTTTTTTTTGTTTTTTTGTTTGTTTGTTTGTTTGTTTTTTTTTAACATTACTAGTTGAAAAAAGCTCATGATGGTAAAGTCTACATCCCAAATTCTATTAAATTGGCAGAATTATGTTCAATTAATTCTTTTAGTCCGTAAGCTGGCGCATATTGCATTCTTGGTTAAATTCCAATTTTACTGAATCATAAATTTGGACAAGAAAAATTACGTTCAACATGTATCGTTTATTTAAATTTTGTATTAAAGAAAAAAGAAATAAGAGACTTTTGTCTTCTATGGTAGGGGACATCTATTCTTGTTTCACCTGTTACTATCAATATTTTATAACACGTATAATCTAAAAATCTGATAAGAATTTAACCGTTTTAAAATTATGCATTACTGAGAAGATAATTTCTTAAGAGCTTTCTCTTTTAAGACCAGAATTAATAAGTTACCTGTAACTCTCTATTTACAGCCATTAAATCTATATTAAAAATTATATATTTTACATATTATTTCTATGTAATGTGATTTTAATTGAATTTACAATATTAATAAGATTGTCTTTAAAAAATAACTTCTTTTTTTATACCCTATCTTAAAATTCGCAAAAATGTGGTGACGTTTAGTAAGGGGATTTATACACTGATTTGAATCATGATTCATAGTTCGTTATAGTATTTTCTTTCACAAAAAATATACGTAAATCAAATGATTTTAATCTCATAATTCTAATTTATGAACCAAACGTCTCATAAGATCTGATTTCATCTGTACGAAATGGTAACAAAGTAATAAGCATACCACACATTTGTCCGGTGGCTTACCAATTTCTCACATGCGCTAGTGTATTTAAGGGTCCATCTGTTGGATGCAATTTCTCACACGCCAAAGCTGTCCCCACACACCATACAAAAAAAACCCCGGTACTACTTCTACTGCCCCATCACAACTTCTCTCTCTCTCTCTCTCTCTCTCTCTCTCCTGCCTCACGTCTAGTTCGTTTTCACAACACAACTTCTCTCTCTCTCTCTCTCATCTCTGCTTTTCTTTCCATTCTTCCTCTTCAAATGGCTCAGGTATTTCGTTCCTTTTCCAAATTTTTGCATGCTCTCTTGTAACTAATTTACAAAGACATAATTAAGATCCAATGAAGTGGAATGAAAGTGAATTGTACTCTTTTCTTTTCTATGAACTTTATTGCAGAAAGTGGTGTTGAAGGTCATGACCATGACTGATGACAAAACAAAGCAGAAAGCCATGGAAGCTGCAGCTGATATTTATGGTATGTTGGTATTTTCTTTGACTACTATGTTTTCTCACAAAATTATATGAAAGTTTTCATCTTTAACCAGTGAACCAAGCCTTTCTCACTTTTTAAATTCTCTTGAGCACAAACATGATTTGATGATTTTAAGGATGTTTTTTTTTTTCCACATGATTTCTATGAAAATTTGTGGTTTTTTGGTTTCTGTTCACTTTTTTATAGATTCAATTCGATATTCGAGTTATGACATTAAATATTTAAAACTAAAAATTTAAATCGATCGAATGAATAAAACCTTGATCTCTTAGGGATTTGGTGTGAACAGGGGTTGATTCAATTGCGGCAGATATAAAGGATCAGAAGTTGACAGTGATTGGACAAATGGACACAGTGGCGGTGGTGAAAAAGTTGAAGAGGGTAGGCAAAGTGGATATCATATCAGTTGGTCCAGCCAAGGAAGAGAAGAAAGAAGAGAAGAAAGAGGACAAGAAGGAAGAAAAGAAGGAGGAAAAGAAGGAAGAAAAGAAAGAGGAAAAAAAGGAGGAGAAAAAATAAAACATCTCAATAATAATCATCTCATTATCACAATTTCCCTAAAACCATTTACAATAATTTTCTTGATTTGGCAATGTGAGGGTCAAATTTTCTTTTGTAAATGTAACTAAACAGTGGAAATAGAAGAGTATCACAAGCTTTTTTTTTTTTTTTTTACCCAAGGTTATTTTTTTTGCAAATGGAATGGCATGTATCACAAGCTTTTTTTTTTTTTTTTTTCCCAAGGTTATATTTTTTATTATGCAAATGGCATTTTTTTTTTTTAAAGCTTGAGAGGTCAAGCCAGTTTTGTCTTGGTACCAAATAAGAATTGAAGGAATAAAATTTTGGCATTTGGCTGCTACGAGTTTCTTCTTCTATTTGCTTGCAGGGCTTAGTCCATATTTACGTGCAGCCAAAAAAGTCTTTATATTTGATATGAATTTAATAACACACGTATAAGATAAGAGAATGTCATTCTATCATTTGCGTCATTTGATTGTCAATAGTGAAAGAATGAGTAGGCACCAAATTTGTTAGTGGGAAACACGAGTAAAATACGCAATCTATTTTGTTGCCATTGAAATGTGTACACTTTATTAATTGTTACTGAACTTTGTATGCTTGAGACTTGAAAGCATTGAATAAGAGGTCAGGGCGGCCAATTGCCAATGGTTTTTATGATGTGCTTGTAGCTGAGCTTGACTGCTAAACAAAAAAACACCAGTGGAAAATAAAAGCATGATCTTGACCTAACAAAACTTTGAAAAACAAAACAAAAAAACATTGACAAATATAATTAAAGAGAAAATTAGAGAATCTGCCCTCTTAACTCCGGTTTTAATTTTCTTCTCCTCTTAAAATATGTCATTCTTAGGTTTATGAGTAGGACATAAGTTTTAGTGTTTAAGGAAAGGATTTTCTCTGGTAGTTTTTGTAAAAGTAAAATATCAGAATCCATGTTTTCAATTATTATATTTTTATCAGAAATTATCTGTTTTACATTTTTTTTTTCATTTTAATATGATTTTGACTAGATTTAATGGTAAGAAACTGACCCAACCGATTGGAAGGCCTTACCAGAGCAACTCCTACGGGACATAAATCTTTAAGTCATGGTGTATTCCTCTATATTTCCAAAGATTGATGCACGAATTGGGCATTGCTTAAATTCCAAAGAGCAGGTGATTTCCTTTTTTTTTTTCCTTTTTTTTTTTCCCTTTTA